TCAATATCTAAGGAACCGTAACTGATTTAATGAGCCATTCGCGGTTTCGCCTTAATACGGCATGTACTTAGACATGCATGGCTTAATTTTTGAGACAAGCATATGACTACTGGCAGAATCAACCAGGTAGCTGTTCAGCCAAACACACACAGAACCGAACGGTCCGTGTTGTTGTTGCTGTCGGTGTCCTACACCGACTCACACTGCCTTCAATATAGCGGCCAGTGTTCACATTAACATTGCGTCTGTGTATAGCGCTAGCGTTAGTTTCGCCCGGCGTTATCACACATCCCAAACTGCCGGTCAGTCATCGACTAGACCGTCAACAGTACCGCTATAGCGGTTATCAACTTATTCAATCCGTTAGTTATAGCCAACCTATCGCGGCGCTATTCAAAGTCAGCCTTCGTTCATATTGCTCATGTTTATCGGCACTCTGGTTCCCAGTCAGTGACACGGTTTTACGCGTTTGACTATAGGCGGAAACTCAAGTGGTACCCGAACCGACGCCAGTCATCCCTATCCTGACATGTATTAGAGTTGCCGTAGTTGCGGTCTTAGTGTGCAATCAATCAAGGCGTGCAGTCTGTATTGTCGACCCCCACGTACTAACAGCTGGCTCACTTACACCGCACGGCTCTCTCCCGTTGATAAAGCGAGGAACATGTCTTGCCGTCCCCTCAAAAAGTACGACAATCTGATATTCATCGGCATTACGCCGTTTGAATCACAGAGTTATCGATACTGTGTCACCGACTATCTCTCATTAATCGGTTTGACACCCTATAGTGTGTATAGTCATCGTATAGCATTATACGACTCTCTCAAATGTTATGCAGTGAACACCGCATATAGTGCTTTGACTCGTACTCAACACTACTACTCTCCATATATATACTTTTTTCTTAGTAAGGCACAAGTTGAGATGTGCACTTTGACTACTTGAAAAAACATGACATGTTTAAACAACACTGGAGGCCCGTCGGTAACTTCGGTAACCAAATTGTCACTATATCTTGTTAGGCCTCATTGACTAGATGGTGTCAATACGTTTGGCCACTCACTCTGACCACCGGGGGTCGTGTTATAAGCGTTTTTCCCGAAAACAACATTCCCGAATAACTCTGGCCACGGCCAACCGATCGGGACCGGACCATCATTGTTGTGACCGCCAACTAATGGCCAACAAGTCATATATGTATCACAATATGATTTGACCTCATCTTCGGGTCCAAATGGCCATCCGAAAAATGTCTGTCATGTACTCTCTACGGAGACATGTTTTTCGGCCATTTGGACCCGAAGATGACCATCGATCGGGACCAAACTTTCAAACTATATTCTTGCCACCAATGCGGTTCTAATGACATATGTCACGTCCCGATCGGTGGCCGTTTACCGAAGTAGTGATTTTTCAAAAAAAGTAAACAAAAAAATGTATGTACAGTATATTAGGTGTAACACCAGTATAGCATACATGTAAATGAGAGTAAGTAACGGTAAATCGGTAAGTAGTGGCCACAATGTTATGACCTATCTAGTCAGTACCGCATACCTATATGCTATCTTCTCCCGAAGTTTGGTCCCGATCGGTGACCATCTTCGGGTTCAAATCCCCGAAAAACCTATATTTCCCATACATTAATAACACATACAATACAATGCATTGTTGTAATCACGGGACGGGCCATATTGACCCGAAAACAACAATATAGACAATAATGTCCAACAGACAACTTGTTGGCCATCCAATTACTGTCCATAATATGTTGGTACGGATGTTGTCCGATGTCCGCAACCCGAGTTATACCGACTTGCCCAAAATGTTGGTCCCGCCGAACCGATGGCTGGCCAGTGTTTTGAGTGGCTGATTAGGTGGCTAACCAATAGCCAATCATTCACTTCCAATCTTGACTTCGGGCGGTTAACCTGTACCGAGTTATCGGCAATTTTTGTTTTCGGCGGAGGCAATCGCTATGTAACTAGTAGTTGATTGGCCTTTACGGCCAAAGTAGCGGCCACAATGTCGAGACATATCTAGTTAGTACCGCACACCTATTTGCAACCTCATATTGAAAATTGATCCCAATCGATGATCATCTTCTGGTCAAAATTACCGAAATACCGATTTCCCCATACATTACTGTACTGTACTATACAGTACACTGTTGTAATCACGGGACGGGCACTTTTGACCAGAAGACATCCATGTGGCCAATTATGTCTTCATATAGCACCTTGGCCATCCGAATAGTGTCCATAATATGGTGGTACGGATGTTGTCCGATGTCCGCCACCCGAAATATAATGGGCCGTCAAAAATTGTTGTTTTGGCGGGAAAATCAATGAATCACTAGATGATGGCCTTTGCGGCCCAGGTAGTGGCCACAATGTCGGGACATATCTAATTAGTATCGCAAACCTATTTACTACCACATATTGAAAATTCATTCCAATCGATGATCATCTTCTGGTCAAAATTACCGAAATACCGTTTCTCCTATACATAATAGAAAATACTGTACATATATCACTAAACGGACCAGTTTGACCCGAAGACATCAATGTGGACAATTATGTCCAATAGACAACTTGTTGGCCATCCGAATACAAAGGATAATATGGTGGAACCATGTCTGTCCGATGTCCGCTTCCCGAGTTATTCCCGCCCGACGGTACCATTTTTTGCCAT